GAACAAGAGCAATGTTGAGGGATGCAGGCCTAGAAAAATCATTCTGGGCAGAAGCAGTCAATACCGCCTGTTATTTGGTGAATCGAGCTCCATCAACTGCAATAGAGCTGAAGACACCAATGGAGATGTGGACTGGTAAACCAGCTGGTTATTCAAACCTCCATGTATTTGGAAGTATTGTGTATGTGATGTACAACTCTCAAGAAATTTCAAAGCTGGATCCAAATCCAGGAAATGCAAATTCTTGGGGTATGCTGATGGTGTAAAGGAGTATCGCTTGTGTGATCTTACTGCCCGCAAAGTGATCATTAGCAGGGATGTTATCTTTGTAGAAGATAAGTTATAAAGAAAAGAAGATGATGATAGCGCTGAAAAGTTAGACTATACAGATACATGTGGAAAATGAGGTTGAACAAGGAGATTTCTGAAGCAGAACCAACACTTGATAAACAAGAACCAGGGAGTTCTGAAGCTCCAATAACTCGTCAATCAGATCGTGTGAGAAGACGTCCCAATTGACACTCAGATTATGTTATAGAAGGTAATATTGCATACTGCCTTTTAACAGAGGACGATGAGCCATCAACATACCATGAGGCAATACACAGCTCAGATGTTTCACTGTGGATGATGGCGATGCAAGAAGAAATCGAAGCCCTTCATAAAAAATACATGGGACCTTGTGCCACTACCACAAGGAAGGAAGCCAATTCGTAACAAATGAGTTTCAAAATCAAGCGAAATGGTGACGATCAAGTGGAGAGGTATCGTGCAAGACTGGTGGTCAAAGGATATGCTCAAAAAGAAGGTATTGATTTCAATGAAATATTTTCTCATGGTTCGACTAACAACAGTTCGAGTAGTTTTGGCAATGTGTGCTACATTGAACTTACATCTAGAGCAGCTAGATGTTAAAACAACTTTTCTTCATGGAAATCTTGAAGAAGAAATTTATATGCTCTGAAGGTTTTGAAGAAAAAGAAAAGAAGAACTTGGTTTGCAGGTTGAACAAATCTCTATACGGTCTAAAGCAGGCGTCGAGGTGTTGTATAAGAGATTTGATTCATTCATTATGTGCCTTGGATACAACAAACTTAATGAAGACCCTTGTGCTTATTTCAAGAGGTCTGGTGATAACAATTTTGTTATATTGTTGTTGTATGTGGATGACATGTTGGTTGCAGGACCCAACAAAGATCATATTGAAGAATTGAAGGCACAACTGGCTAGGGAATTTGAAATGAAGAACTTGGGATCAGCAAACAAGATTCTAGGGATGCAAATTCACCGAGACAAAAGTAATAGGAAGATTTGGCTTTCACAAAAGAATTACTTGAAGAAGATCTTGTCACGATTCAACATGCAAGATTGTAAGCCAATTTCTACCCCTCTTCCTATTAACTTAAAATTATCCTCCAGTATGAGTCATAGCAGTGAAGAAGAGATGATGGAGATGTCTCGAGTACCGTATGCATCAGCAGTGGGAAGTTTAATGCGCTATGATATGCACAAGACCAGACATTGCACAAGCAGTGGGAGTGGTTAGTCGGTACATGGCGAATCTAGGCATGGAGCATTGGAATACAATAAAGAGGATCCTGAGATACATCAAAGGGACCTAAAATATTGCATTATGTTACGGAGGATCAAATTTACTAATCAATGGGTATGTAGATTTTGACTATGCAGGGGATTTGGATAAAAGCAAATCTACTACAGGGTATGTGTTCAAAGTTGCTGGTGGAGCTGTAAGCTGGGTTTCTAAGTTGCAATCAGTTGTGGCTACATCCACAACAGAGGCAGAATATGTAGCAGCTACACAAGCCAATAAAGAAGCAATTTGGTTGAAGATGCTATTGGAGGAGCTTGGGTATAATCAAGAGTATGTCTCTCTATTTTGTGATAGTCAAAGCGCCTTGCATCTAGCAAGGAATCCAACATTTCATTCAAGGACAAAACACATATGAGTTCAGTACCACTTCATTCGTGAAAAGGTGGAAGAAGGAACGTAGACATACAGAAGATCCATACCAAAGACAACATAACAGATTTCATGACGAAGGCAATCAATGCTGATAAATTTACCTGGTGTCGATCCTCATGTGGCCTGTCAGAAACGTAAGCAACATGAATGTACAAGGTAGAAAGAATGGTGTGAAGATATGATTGTTCCAATCAAATATTCAAGTGGGAGATTGTTGAAAAGTCTTGGCAAGCACCGAAAGGTGCGAATAAAAAATTCCACCGAAAAAATTTGTCAAAAAGGTTGGGTTTTTGTTGAATTTTGGACAATGGTAAAATTATAATTTTAGCCATTGTAATTTAGGGTATTTACAAATTAGTCCTTAGAGCTTCAACTATAAATACCCTAGCTCATTTATAAACCATCAAAACATTCTAGCTTTCTTCCAATACTATAGAGAATTTATAGAGTTTCTTGAGAGTTGTTTTCTCCTTTTTATCAAGAGAGAATTATCATTGTTTTCTCCTTGGTAGATCGAGAGAGGTTGTAATTCCTATTTTTCTCATAGTGAAATTCTTACCGTTGCCCGTGGTTTTTACCCTATATAATTTAGGGGTTTTCCACGTAAATTTTGTGTCTCTTTTATCTTCAATTTTTTATTTTCTCAAATTATCAATTACATTTTTATTCTATCCGATAGCTGTTTTCCGCAACACATCTAACTTGGTGGCTGTTCATCGGGTACTTTAGAATTTTTTGTTTTGAATTATATCCCAGCACGTGTTTGTTGTACTTGCAGCAGGGGATGGGGTTTTTTTGGCTATATTCATGTTGTGTTTTGGTTGTATTCCATTATTGATGTAATCATGATTATGTATTAACATTCGGGTTACTCTTTTTCTTTTTGAAAATAATAACTCAGTAAAAAAATATTTAACTTGTATAAATTTTAGGTTCATCGTAAGTAACTCAGTAACCACCATTACCCACCGTGAATGGTTACCTCTTATCGGAAACCGTTTTATGCAATATTCACTGTTACTAGACCGATAAAAGCATAGACTGTCTGATCATAATTTCTCATGTAATATTGATTATTCTAATGTGAATATAGTTTTTTTTTTGCCGGCATGTAAAGCCAACTTGATATCTACTCCTCAAGGTTTTCAGTCCGAGAAATTACATGTATCATTATCATTGTTGCTTGATTTATTGCATGTTGCTGCTGCCATTGCTTAGATAACGAAGACAAGAAAAGTGTCGAGTCACACTCTTTTAATACTTAATAAACAATTATATATAAAAACAAATTTCAATAATCCTTAATTCCAACGGCTAACTATTTAATTTCCGGCCAATTTTTTATTTTAGAAAAATAATTAACTTAAATTAAGATGGAATTGAAGTTAGATGAAGATTTCTAAATTTTCAGATCCGAGTCGGGAGAAAAAAAAAGAACACTTCTCTCCTTCCATAGTCATTTCTTTTTGTGGGTATAGAATTATCGATTTCTTGGATCGAATTAGTTTGGGTTTTTTGCGAAACAAGGTGACCACCAGTAGTAGGTGATGGTGGTTGTTGGGTTACTTAGTATTTACCATAAATTTATATAAGTTCAATATTAATTTTAAATTAATTAAACTTATTGAATTAATTATTATTTTTAATAAAATTAAAATAAACAATTGTTTTTAATATTTACATAATGACAATTTTATTAGCGGTGTATCTTGGTGTGTTGCGGTGTGCGACGTGTGCTGTAGAATTTTCTTTGAGATAAGTACAAAGTATTATCTGTTTGAATGTAACAAAAATTCCTTTATCATCGAAGAAACTTGGTTCGTACAAATTTTCTAATTTTATTGTGTTCTTTTTTATAGATGAATCTACAACGCACGTCGCACACCGCAACACTACTAAAGCGACGCACCGAAATACAACACAAGAAAAAGTCCTTTTTATGTAAATACTAAAAAATATAATGATTTTATTCAAAATTAATCATTCATTAAAATTTAATTTTAATTTTAATAGAATTATAAACTTTTTATTGAAAATAATAATTAATTTGATAAGTTTGATTTATTTAAAATTAAATTATTTAACTTATAAATTTAAGGTTTATCCCAAATAACTAGAAATCATTGTCACCCACCACCAACGATCACTATGTGTCGCTAGAAATTTATTTTCTATAATATTCACCACTGCCAAAGAATCGTATTAAAAGGAACCAAATACCCTAACATTGTTAATAAAAATTACCAGAGGCCACTTGAAAGAAACCCACAGAGAAAAGAAGAAACAACGGCAGAGAGGAATCAGAAATGCAGTCCTCACTTTCATGCTTCTGCAAAAAAAAAACAATTTTCATACCATCAACTTGTCCACTTCCTATCTTTCAGCTTTCCTTTTTTTATTATATAAATTAATAAAATTATTATTACTAAGTTTAAAAGTTGATTAGATCTTGTATACTCTCTGTCCCATAAAATATGTGTTTTATTGACTTTTTAAAATTAAAAATTAAAAAGTTTAAATTTTGATTATAATTATTTTAAATAATTAAATTTTATAGAATATATATTTAAAAATTAATTGATTGAAGGTTTTTAAAATACATTTTTACATATTTTTTATAATAAAATTTTAAATAATAATTAGTTAAAATTTAGAAAAATTAACCCCAAAAAGATCAACAATATAACCTCTTTATGGGACAAAGGGGAGTACTATTTAATCAATATTTAACCAACTGCAACCATCATTGAACTTCTAAATCAACAACCGAAGAAAAACAAGAACAACATCTGCAGTTTCAACACGCAATGAGTTGTTTTCTAGTTTGTCGTATGAGACGAAAGCCAAAAAACAAGCCATTATTTTCTATTGTCTTGTTCCTCATAATTCACAAACAGAATAACACATCACATGGCAGATGTGCTGTGCTGTCAAAATGACAGCAAAATCATAGCCTATTTATGAACATGATAACGCATCTTCCGTAATTCTCAGCTCATCTACCAGTTCCCAAGCTTATCAAATTCGCCCACCAAATCTCTCTTCCAGTATAAAATTTGGGTTTCTGAGCTGTGATCTAAAAAACCACATGGCAAGCTTGCCCACTTGGCTTTTCTTAATCAAATTCCTCCAATAGATGACATGATAAAATGGTAAAAGGCAAAAAAAAGTCTGGTGTCTGTCTTTTTTGCATATGATCAGTTTGCAGTGATGGAGAAAGTTGAAGCTCTCGATCTTTTAGAGGAGTCATGGTTTTTTGAGAACTTTTTCGATAGGAGGAGAAGGATGTTGAGATGTTATTCAGATCCTTGTACTTCATCGAATTTCAGACAAGAAGTTTTGTCTAAAGATTCGTGTCGTGATGAAAGCCGTAATTGTTTGGTCCGTGCACCTTCGTTGCCGCCATGTATTGGGAGGGAAGAAAAGGTTCAAGAAAGGAAGAGCAATGGTGGGAAGAAGATCACATTGAATAGGCAATTATCTCTTCAAGCTTCGAAAACGACGTGTTCCGATGGGAAGATCAAATCGAGCGGCGAATCGTCGTCGTCGTCAAGACGTAATTTGATAAGGACACCTTCTTTGCCTTCTTCAATGGGACTAATGAGTTAACTCAGGATAATGACAATGATCATAGAATGAGCAAATTGATCCGACAAGCAATGGCTAACTCACCAGACCTCTTGCCCCCAAGGCACAGTCATAATAAGGTACTCATCTGATCCCATACAATCTTTCTGCAATTTGGCAATGTGAATTTTATATTAATCTTCTGTCATTTGCTTTTGCAGGCAATGATCTTCCAAAGGTCTAGTAGGCTACCAAGGAACCAAGAAGTGGAAGCCATTAACAACACCAATGAGGCTCCGGTCGCAAGAGGCCGACATTCGAATCCGAAGAGGATGCTGCAGAAAAGCCATAGTGATCTCGCCTTCCAAGAACTGCAAGGGTTCAAGGATTTAGGATTCACGTTCGACAATGAAGATTTGAGTCCCGATGTTCTGAATATACTCCCAGGCTTGCAGGGAAGTAAGATAGACGAGTCGAAACAAGCGAGGAGGCCGTATTTATCCGAGGTATGGCATGTACAACGCCCAGCACCTCCTCTTCCTGCTCGTGTATCGAAGAATTCAGCAGAGGATATGAAAGCACAGATCAAGTTTTGGGCCAGAGCAGTGGCAACTAATGTTCGACAAGAATGCTGAGAATTCATTACTAATCAAGTTATTACTACATTTTGTCACGTCTAAAACGAGTTTAACATGTAAAATAAAACTTCATTAAAACTCTGGTCCAATGGCAGTCATAGATTATTGTGCCAAGGAATCGGGTGAACAAACAATGAAAACACCCTGTCCTTTGTGTCACCATCTTCAATAGCATGGCCATCGCCATTTTGGTACATCAACTGCACACTCTCGCAAGGTCCATAGCGATTTCGATAAACGTCCGAGAGAAAGGAGATTTAGCCATCTGCTCTTCGTTTATCTTTTTCCATGCAGCCTCGATCAACTTCTTTACGAGCTCACGAGCTTCTTCTTCAGATGCTTCGTTTTCGTACATGTAACATTGGATTGATTTTGGAACATCACCTCTTTCTAGCTCGTACTAATATAAAACAAGAAAAAGAAAATCAATCAGTAAATGGAAGTCCCAAGTTGACAAACTACGTATTAATTAGTATGTATGTTGCTAACCGATGACGTCCCGAGATCGTCGGTTACTCGAACAATTATCGACGACTGATAAATTATGTTGTGGTAATACTCCTCGATGTGATGCAATCCCTCCTCTGTTATATGATCGGTTACCAAATAGGCATGGCCTAACATCACGGAACCCGATATCGACAACCAAGCGTTGTCGATATACTCCTGGAGGGTTGGTTTGTATCCGCTGTAATACCACTTTGCCTCCAACAAGTATGCATTACAAAGATTCGTCCACTGAACACGTTTAAAGTGTCAACTCTTAGTTTTAGAAGTAAAAAAGAAATGAAATACAAGTTTAGAGATCGGTTTGATACCACTTTCTTGAGTAAGGGAGGACATCGATTCCTTGTTCCTTAAGAGTGTCGAAAGCCATTTCGTTTACGGATTTGTAAAGGGCATGGTAGCATATCTTCATATAGGTTGGAAGCTTCTGTATAGCATATCCCATCTGAAAATGATAAACATTAATAACAGAGATCAGCAGCAAAATGAAGCAGATGCTGGTAGTCTGGTAGAGCTGCAAACCTCTCGACGGCATTGGTGAAGAGCTCCAACTCGTCTAAGGTTCCGTAAACATCATAAACATCGTCTATGACAGTTATTAGTGCGTTCACCTTGGTTTGATCTCGTCGACTTTTTCCGGACTGAGGAGTAATTATCATCCGCACACTCCATATGAAGTTCTCCATCAGCCTATCTCTAGCAAAGTTCAACCTTTCGCAAAGACCGAGATCCTTCCACCACCTGATTAAAAGTCGAAAACCAGAATCAAATATGGCATAGATTTCGAAACCGGTATGCAAGAAAGCATATACTTACGCTGAAGCATGTCTTAGATCGTCCTGGTGAATAGCTTGGACTATATTATAATCCAGTATAGCAAGTCCTAAAATAATGGGATTTTTGTCCTGGTTCTTCTCGTACGCTTCTATGAACCATCTGGCTTCCAACCTCGACATCCTCCCATGTAGAGGAAACTCCAAGGCATGATCGACGAGCATCGAAAGATATCGATCGTTGTTCTGCTTTGGACATTCTTTTAGAAGCATCGCCGCTGATTCCCTAGCATTCTCCAGCATTGTTTCACCTTCTACTAAGAGGTACGAAGCCTCATAAAGGTTGAGCAGTCCCTTGAAATCCTGGGAAATTCTTTCTTTTAAGTTCCCAGCCTCATCCATGAAGCTAGTGAAAACATCTATGCATGAAAACAAATATATGAATCAGTAATGAAAACATTTACAAATTAAGAAATCCGACATCGTATCCAATTTTGCTTACCTTGATTCACGTTGTAGCCATGTTGTCTTAGCAGTCGAAATCCGAGTGCTGTAGCATGTAAACTGTGTTCCTCCCCTGTAACACTGCTGCAATCTGCACTTACATTCTTCAAAGTTGTGCTTATTTCATCTTGAAAGTGACGGGACAAGCCGTCTTTGTAAAATATCGATAAGCTCAAGCTTCTCCAAAGGATCATCCACCATTTCACAAAGCATCTTCCTCACTTCACCCTGTAGTTTACTAGCACGTTCCTCGTATGATTCGTCCCGTAGAAAATCACTTCGAAGAGACTGAACATAATCATGACCCCAAATCGGAGGATGGTAACCAGCCGACCGTCTAACGACGTCGACATCACTGGTAACTTTGGTCGTAGCTTTACATTGCGAGGCCGAAGACATATTTAACCTATGGAAGCTCGAGAATCGTTTCCATTGGGTATGTGGGGGGGAAAGTACAGATGGGGAATGAACTACACAAGGAAAAAGCCATGTTGAAGACTTAGCCAATTGGTAAGATATTTCACTTGGGATGGTGAGGGTAATTGACGAATGCATATCTATATATACACACAGGTGCAATCCAATTAATATTAAAATATTAGTCAAGATAGGAATATATATTATATAATGTTTTGCGCATTGAGAACGCTAAACTTATTGTTACAGTATATCCCCAAATTAACAAAGAGTATGCTACACGGTTGTTGGAATTGCTTCATGTGGTTCAGTAAATTAAATCATAATTTAATTAAATAGTTTAGCCAAAGTTTTTAACGTGGGGTTATTTTAATAATAAAATATGGATACCATTAATCAACCACTGTTTACCAGCAGTCAACAATAAAACTTCAATTAATAACCTGTCAACAGTGATCAACGAGGGATATTATCATGTTTAAATAATCTCTTCATTAAAATGATCGACATGTTAAGAAGTATTAATCATTTCTCTATTTAGTGATCATATTTTAAAATAATTAATCTTTTATAAAAAAATCAATTTCTCATATTATAAATATTGATATTTATTAGAAATAGGTCTATTCATTTACAAATGTAATGTAATGTCACAAAACCCCTAAAATTCGGAGGCCTCATACTTTAAAAAATTTACTAATAAAAAACATTTTTCTAAAAAATCTGTTCTCTTTTATCAATTCCCACGATAAAATTTAAGAAGAGAAATCTTTTAATTTTCTCTTTATTATCTTAAAAATTGAATTGTGATTAGTCTTAATTTTTTATTACCAAATTTATGATGTTTACGGGGTAAAAATCTTTTTTATATATCTTTATCTTCTTTAATTACTCTAAAATCAACTACTAATTTGTAGTATTCATCATCTAAAAGTTAAAAGGAGCATTTTAAAGGTTAAATTTTTATTCATGTAGGAAAAGTGGACCAATGTGAATTTAGATGGTGGAAAAGTTTAGGTATGGAAAGTCAATGTGCTATATTGTGATTGGACCAAATGTTGAAGCAGTAAATTCCCATCTTTTGCTTCATCTTTACCTCATTATTGTTATTAAATTATTCGCGAATACGGTTGCAATATCGCAATAACAAACATTACAGACGTTATAATGTGTCAGGATTGTTGCGGACATAATTTATTCCTCAAAAATTATAATATTTATAAAATAATATATTTATATATTTTATAATTATTTTAATATTATATACTCTTTTAATATTTTACTTTTTAAAAAACAACCTTAATTTCATATATAAAAATTTATTAAAAACAAATATAAATCATACAAGTGTTATCGTAATGGAAGATGAGTAATAACAATTATAATTTTAATGAATAAAAACTATTACTATAAAAATGATTCAATTTAAACTTAAATTAATTTAATTTTAAAATAACTATTACTAACTATATATTTATAATATATTTTTAACGATTAAATAAAAATATTTCATTTATGTGTTTTAATATTTCCAATTTAAAAGTTTGTTGTTGTATTACGATGTTAAGGTGTAATTTATAGCATATTGCGGTGTTACTTAACAGTTTAAGATCGTAAAAGTAATGGTTTCCTTATTCGCATTGAGCCAATATTGTGTCGCAATGACCTTTAAAACTGTTACGATATGGCCGTTATAATGTTGCAGTCGATTTAATACTATCATCCTCCTCCGCATCTTCCATGATCGTATTTATCACAAGCTGGCCCAAATAAAGGAACAAGCAAGAGAATTGATGCCAAAAACAAACGTTGCAAGGAAGCACAATCCATTCACAATAGTCCTGCAAATTATAAGCATACCAATACTGAGAAACTACAAGATTTACAGGCAGGAGCACAAAATGAAGTATTAGTTGCAAGCTACCAGATGGTTATTGAAAATTGTTTGAGAAAAATGGTAAGCACTCGAACAATAGTAAATACAGACATGGATAAGGGTAGTGAGAGGACAAACCCAGAAATTATTATGTTGGGGGATTGTTAGATGCAAGTCATAGAACTTTTTATGCTTCTTATGGTTGTCATAGTTTTAATTTAACTTTATGTGATATGGCCAATAGTTGTGGTAAAGCTAAAGATTTTTTAACATCATACACCATATTTATATATATTTGCTCATTCTACAAAAAGGTTAACAAATTTTGAAGAATAATATTAAAGGTTTGACTCTAAATTATTGTCATTAACTCGTTGGGAGAGTATTGTTGAGAATATTAAAATTACAAGAACCAATATGGAAAATACACTAAGCTTTACTTCAAGTAGCGGAAAGTAGTGAGAATGATTTTAAAGTACAAAGTCAAGTTAAATCTTTAACAACAAATGAACTTTGTGATAATGAGTTTTTGGTGGCAAATATTATTTGGTTTAAAATATTATATGTGGTTAATTTGCTTAGTCAATATTTACAATCAAATGATCATTGATGTTGTCATGGGAAAAAATAAAGGGATTGATTTCTTTTTTTAGCATATAGAGAAATTGGCTTCGAGGATGCTTTGAATGTTGCTAAGGGTATTGTCATTGAAATGAACATTCATTCTGTTTTCCCTCAAAGGCGTATAATTAAAAGGAATTTTTTTTATGAGAATTCAGATAACACCCCATTCATGATTCCACAATCTCCAGAAGAATCGTTTAGAGTTAATTATTTTATATATTGTTGATCAAGCAACTCTTTCTCTTAATAGGTGATTTGAACAATACCGATAATATAAAAATGAGTTTTATTTACTTCTCATAAGTTGCAATCACTAGATGATGTGAGTTTAAAGTTCATTGTGCTTGTTTTGAGTCTATTCTTAAAAATAAAGGACAATATGATATTGATGGAAATGAATTCTATGTAGAGTTAAGA